ATCCAGATGAGGACGGATAAAACTCGTACTGCAGACGTTTGGTTTTTATATGATATTCATGTTGACGCAGTACAACGAGATTCATCCGTCCTCATCTGGTGAGATCGACCAACGAATCTCTTCATGCACTTTCATTCGAAATGAAGGTCCCCCTAACAATATTCCGGACTAAATAATAAATGCATAAAATGGCACTAAATTAAATATAGTAATAATAATATAATAATATATTGCGTAAGTCACAAAAAAACTTAAGGCGGAAAAAGAAGCAAAAAAATATAAAGCAATGAATGTAGGACGGAATGAAACTCCAAACAAAAACGTATGGCAGTTTAAAGAAAAAAGTCTAGAACAATACTAATAGCTAAAGGTATTCTTACTCATATTTTGCATAAGGAAATTTCATATATAGCCATAGAAAAGTATAGTAGTTTATAGGTCAATAAATTAGGTAAATTAGTTAATTTCATAAGGCAATATACTGCAGGCACTACTTTCAATTTTGCAACAAAAAGTTAACGAAGCCACGTAATATAGGTAAAATACAGGGTTCTTTGTGAATTTTATATTGCAACTTGAAATAGAACGAATTCAAAAAATTAGCTGAACCATTGTTTTTCCATAGAATATTTAAATAGCCCAAAGCCTGTAGTATGAGGCTTTATAAATTACACTTAGATGATAAATAATGCGCATAAGTTAAATTGAGAACAATAAAAAATAAATTATCAAGGTGCACAGACTAATTTTATACATTATGAGACGTCAAAGTACCAATAGACGTAGCAGCAAATTATTAGCAATAGATTTGGGTTAGTATTTTATACACATGCGTTGGTAAAATTAAGAATATGAGAATAAATCTTTCACAAAAATGTAATTTAATTCAAACGTACTCACATTGGGCCTGTTTGCCTGTTGCGGAAGAAATGTTTGATGATTGAATGATAAACTGATGCTCCTACAATAAAAATTGGACTCACACCTAAGTAAAAATAAAATTAATTTAAGCAAAGGATATTTCCGATACAAAATGTAGGGCAGTCGGTTTGTATGTAGCAAATGAAAAGCAAAAGGATTTTGACCCCCCCCCAAAGCAAGCTCAAATGACATTACCTTTGGAATGAGCTTTCCATCGTCGCCTGCTTTCATTAAAAGCTCGGAGTCTGTAACTAGCGTTACTTGTGAACCGGGTCTCTTCGAGCCCGGGGTACTAGCAGAGGGAGCTCCAGAACTAGCAATAACTACTTTGCCAACAATGCCATCTGGGCCAGCATTAGTCCAAAGATCGGCTAAATAATTTGGCACTTTAACGAGCCATACACCATCTTTTGCTCGACTTGTATCCACTACATGCAGAGCATGGGCATCAGACAGATAGTCCAAAGATTTGCCAGAACTCATGGGAGAGAGCGAGGGGTAAATTAAGGGAGGCGGCACTGGAGCGGAGCTTATAATTATCCTTTAATAAGTATTTTTTATTGCTGACTCTATGAGACTCCAGATTAAACCATAAATTTTCTAAAGCTATTACTAGATATTTTGAATTATATATATATGTATATATATATATATCATATTTTATGTATGTCATGCTTAAATGCTCTCGTTACTTGCTTTAAAAATA